AGGGAGCTGGATCGGAAGTGGAGCAGCCACGGCACGCAGCGTGCCCACGTGGGATGCCAGTGTCGCATTGGTGGCTTCACGTGCCACGCGGCGGCACCGGCCCCTGGGCGTTTCCTTCCTCGAGTTCCTTGACCTCTCACCCCAAGGTCAAGGCGGTTCCTCCTGCTGTCTCTGAGGCCCTTTCACCAATGGCCTTAGCGTGGCCGTGTGGACCACCGTGGTGGTATTCACTGTGTCCTGCCGTGAGGACATCACCTCTCGGCTTTCACAGTGTCTTGGGGCTGGGCGTTGTGTGTAGGGGCAGACATGGCTTGGGGTGCCCACGTCCTGTTTCGGGGTGCCTGGGGTTGAGTCCTGGATCGGCTCCTGACTCCAGCTTCCTGCTAACGCAGGTCCTGGGCTGTCCAGGAGGGAGAGCCAGATGCATTGTCCCCACCATGCCCAGCACCGGGGCAGAGGGCCATGAATGGAAGACAGTGGCTCACCCCGAGTGCCAGCAGAGGGGTGAGGTGTTGCCCAGCCCTGGGTCCGAGGGGAGGGGTCCCCACGGTGCCGGTGATCTCGGGGAGAAGCCCTGAGCCTTGGCTCGCCGGGGGCGCGGCTTGCACTGGCTTCCGTGCCGCAGTATTCCCACTGTTCCGGGTTGGCTGACGCTTCTGTCGCGTGATGTGAGGTCCCTTCCCCCGCCGTGTGCACGTGGGCGTCAGGCTGCTCGGGCTGTCCCAGGACAGGTGCCGCCTGCCCGCGCTGTGCGGGACAGTGGCCTCTCGTGTCTGTGGCTTGGGTGTCGGAGGCACGGGCCCCTCCCCTCGGGCGCACCCAGGGAGCCCTGGGGCTGGCCCGGCTCCAGGCGGCCGTTACGAGGAACGTCAGTGTCTGCAGCTGTTGCGTCTTCCTGCTGTATTCAACCACTAACCAGTACGCAGCGTTCTTTCTCTTGTAAAGACAACTTTTAAAATTTGAGGAGCGGATAGTACAGAGACAGGAGGCGCCCGTCTGCTGGTTCACTCCGCAGGTGCTGGCAACAGCCAGGGCTAAGCCGGGCTGGGCCAGGCCGGAGCCAGCTCCATCCGCGCGGCGGGCACAGACCCGGTTAGCTGGGCCATCGCCGCTGCCTCCCGGCACGCTCGACAGCAGGAGCCGGGAGCCGGGAGCCCCGAGGGAAACCCGGCCCCGTGTGGGATGCAGCGCCTCGGGCAGCTCCGCTTCCGGTCCAGCGTCCTGCCGGGAACCTGGGAGGCAGCAGAAGGTGGCACAAGCGCTTGAACTCCTGCCCCTCACGCGGGAGGCCTGCACGGAGTCGCGGGCACCTGGCTTCGACTTGCGGGTGCCACACGTGACCTGATGCCTGGCCCGGGCCTCGCTCCCCACCCGCCCCCCAGACCCGGGGTCCTGACCTCGCCTTACGGCTCCTGCTCTCCTCTGTGCTGCTTCTCGCCCAGGGTCTCCTGGGGAGAACGCCGGCCCCCTCTCCTGGGCGTGGAGGAGGGGCAGGCGTCTGCCCAGCAGAGGGCCTCCGTGGGCGGGGCCGCTGCTCTGCCTTTGGACCGCACACGGTCCTGGCCTCCATCGGGTCCTCACGCGGCTGTCTCCAGGGAGCTGAGTCCTGTGGTTGCGGGTTTCCGTCTTGTCGCGTTTGTTACTGAGCTCCGTGACACCTGGCAGATCTGCGTGGCATCAGCTGCCGCTCCCGATTCCTGTGAGGGTTGAAGCTCCCGATTCCTGTGAGGGTTGAAGCTCCCGATTCCTGTGAGGGTTGAAGCTGAGGCGCCACTTACTGCACCCGGAGGCTTTTTTAAGTTATAGACAGAGGGAGAGACAGGTCTTCCATCCGCTGGTTCCCTCCTCAAATGGCCAGTGGCCGGAGCTGAGCCCATCTGAGCCCAGGAGCTTCCTCTGACGCTCCCACATGGGTGCAGGGGCCCGAGCACTTGGGTCATCTTCCACGGCTTTCTCAGGCCCCTGGACCAGAAACGGAGCAGCCAGGACTTGAACCGGTGCCCATGTGGGATGCTGGTGCCACAGCTGAAGGCTTAACCTGCTAGGCCGCAGTGCTGGCCCTGCACCCAGGACCTTGTCCCGGCGGGAATCAGGATGCCAGTTACAGCCCGGCTGCCTCAGATCACAGAGCTTTGTTGTTGTTGTTGTTGTTGTTTATTTAAAAGAGCAACAGAGAGGGGTTGGTTTGGGGGTGGGGAAGAGAGAGCTTCCATCCCCTGGGTCACTCCTCAAATGGGTGCCACAGCCAGGTCAGGACCAGGCCCATGCCAGGAGCCAGAAGTCCATCTGGGTCTCCCCCGAGCGTGGCAGGGTCTCCTACATGGGCCATCCTCCAGTGTCTCCCAGGAGCTGGATGGGAAACAGGGCTGCCGCGGGCTCCAGCCCAGGGTGTGGCGTCCCGGGTGGGGCCTTAGTTCTGTGGGGGCTCTTGAAGGCTTTGTGCTGTTGCCGTGAGCTGTCCTGCGTGTGCCCTCCGTGGTCAGTCTGGGGTCCGGGTGGCCGGGGTCTCACTGTTCGCAGTTTTTAAAAATTTACTTCATGATCGTGGGAGGATAGACCTGTCCCCTGGGTCACTCCCCCAGTGCCCACCGGGGCTGAGCCAGGCGGAAGCTGGGATCTCATGCCAGATCTCCCATGTGGGTGGCAGCCTCCACTGTTGACCCAGGGCACACATTAGCAGGGAGCTGCAGCCAGGATGGGGCACAGCTGCTGTCAGGGAGGCGAGCGTTTTCAGCACGAGGTTAAACGCCTGTCCACGTCCTGGGGGGTCTCTGCATTGCCGGCCGGGCCCCGGGGCTGGGCTGTGCGTGGGAACAGGCAAAGGCCCAAATGTGCCCTTCAGGGAAGTAGAGGACCGAGCGCGGCCCAAGTGATGCTTCCCCACAGCCCGGCCCGTGCAGCCGGCGGGCGCCCTGCAGGCGTTTCCGCTTCCGCACGGAGCCCCCGAGCTCAGAGGTCACGGCCGCTGGTGCTGCCCTCTGCCTCCGGCACGCTTCCCAACACCAGGCACTGTCTGTTTTCTCTGGCGATTTCTTATTGCTCCCCCCACCCCCAGCCGCCAGGATTTCCGACTCCCCACTGCGGTTGGGGGACACCCTTGGCACCCTCCGATGGTCTTCTGTGGAGAAAGCTACTGATGGCTGAGGTCCTTCATCCCCTCTGCCCGTCTCTGCCTGAGACGGGGAGGAGGGAGGTGGCAGCGGGAGCCAGGAGCGGTGCAGGTCTCGCACCAGTGCGGCAGCGTGGACACGGCGCCGTCACCTTGTAGCTGTGTAGGGCTCTGCTGCCGTGTCCCGGGTCTTTGTCCCACGGCTCCTGCCTTACGGCTCTGTTGCTCTTTTGGTGTGCAGTGGGTACCTTCTAGTACTCCGCTGAAGTTCACAGGGTTCTTACTGTGTTTTGAATTATTTTTAAACCCCTTGACCCAAATCCACTGCCGCCATCAGTGGCTGTCAGCACTGCTTCCTGTTTAGAATCAGAACTGCAAGCACACAGCCTCTCTGCGGTCCTAGGCATGTCCCTGGCCAGGGCTGTCAAGTCCGTCTCGCTGGTCCCCAAGGGTCTGTGGGCGGGGTCTCCTGCCTTCAAGGCTGCCCCTGGCACCTAAGTAGGGGTCAGCGTCCATGCTCCCGGGGGCTCCTGAGCCTCTGGGACACGGGTCAGGGGCTTTCATCCCATTTGGGTGCCTGAAAGAACCAATCTTCCATCTAGTGGTCCATTTCCCAACACCCACAAACAGCTGGGCTGGACCAGGCCCAAGCCAGGGGCTGGAACTCTACCCAGGCCTCCCCTGGGGGCAGCAGGGCACAAGCACTCGGGCCATCCAGGAGGCTGGGTGGGAGGCCCGAGTGCCCAGGATTCAGGCTGTCACCCCCATCTGTGATGCAGGCTTCCCAAGTGGGGCTCAACCCGCTGCACCAGTCGGGACCCTGTTTAAGAGATTTTATTTTTTTATTTAGAGAGAGGGAGGGAGGGATAAGGAGGTCTTCCATCCACTGGTTCACCCATCGTGGGATGTCGGCATTGCAGGCGGCAGCTTAACCTGCTATGCCACAGCACCAGCCCTGCCACTAAATTCTTCAGCCACGATTTGCTGGTTCTTTGAACGTAATTAATTGGTCTTACAGTTTCCACTTCTGGGCTTCAGCAGAAATGCAACCTGCTGGTGGCTTTCCTGCTGCGGGCCAGTGTTTTCTGGAAAACCAGACGCTGTACACGGAGCCTCGCTTTGTGGTGCCTGTTGGGGACGGCACCATGCACGCCAAGGGCGTCTGCCAGTGCCACTTTCCCGGCAGCACCTGCATGCTTTGTCTTGGTGCTGCCCTCAACCCTGGCTTTGTGTCCCCTGCGCGGGGGGAGCCCCGTGAGGCTGACGTGGCCCGGGGCACGACAGACGCACCCTGCGATGGCGAGGTTGGAGAGCATCCCGACTGCTCCACGGAGTGCTCCCCCCTCCTCGGGCCCCTCCTCCCCGAGCGCAGGCCCTGGAAGCGAGGTGGCTTCGTGAGGGAGCCAGGCTCAGCAGAACGGCAGGTTGGAGTGCTGGTCCGAGCCGCCTTGCTGTCCCAGCGAGGCCCTCTGTGACTCCGGGCAGGCAGAGGTTGGCCCCTGAGGGTTCTGTGGCCTCACCCCGAGGCCCTGGGCTGTGTGGCGCAGGCCTCACGAGCGTGGTTGGGGCTTCGCGTTCTAAGCTGTGGACCCCCAGCCTGGGCAGGGCCAGGCAGTTCTGAGAAGTGTTAGCTGACCAGAGATCTGTGGTTTAGAAAACTCGAGGGTCCCACAACGTACCAGCGGGCGGCGGCTCAGCAAGGGAGCCCTGCTCCATGCTGCACTGTGACCCGGGGGAACCTGGGAGCCCTGCAGACTCCCCTCCCCAACCCCACTTCTTGGAGGCCCCTGAGGCCACATCCCCCCCAAGGGGGTGCAGCGGGACAGGAGGAGGGAAAGGAAAGGAGGTGCCAGGGGAGCAAGACGTGGCCATGCCTCTCTGGAGGGCAGCGTGATGTACAAAGAGCATTTTAATTAATTTATTTCTGTCTTTACACGTAACTGAGTGATGTTACATAAGTTATTTACAACTGTGCAGTGATGTGTTGCAAAATAAATTATCTAGAAGGCAGCAAAAGTACATTGTGAATGTATATAAAACTGTACAGCGTTACGGATACACTTTTTATATGATTATTGGCTCTGTAGTGTTTCAAGTTATGTTCTCAGAAAGAGAAACAAAATGCCCAAGATTAAAGGAAAAAAATATACAAACCACGTGGATTTGACTCCATTAAAAACACTATGGGAGAGTCCCGGCTCCGTGTCCCAGCGTCCTCAGCCTGCCCTGAGGCCTGGTGGTGCCCTCCTGCCCCCACCCCGACCTGGAGGTCTCTGGAGAGCTGGACCCCTCCGTCCAACTGAACCGATCAGAGTGGACAGGAAGTCCAGGACACGCTGCTCTGCCCCTCTTGCCTCTGCAGCGGGCGGGACAGGGCCCGAAGCCCGGTCCGCCGTGGGCGCCACGGCGCCATCTCCTGCCTGGGCTGGTGAGGCCGCCTCCTCCCGCATAGCTGGTATAAGGAGATGGGGCCTGCCTCCTGGCCTCAGGGCCAGTCTGGACGGGGCAGAGGCCATGGCCGAGGTGGTCTCTCCCTCCCCTGCCGGGCTTGTCAGCAGCACTGGGCAGACACACGCAGCTCCCGTGGGCGTCACGCTGGCAGCAGCACGAAGTCGTCATTGACGTCGACCATGGGCACGTAGAAGGAGGGCACCTCGTTCACACACAGGGACTTGTGCCCGGCGGGGTCCAGCTCCTGCACCTTCAGCTGCCACTCCATCCGCTGCACGGCGTTCAGGGCGGCAGCCTCGTGCTGCTGGCGCATCAGCAGGCACGTCTGTGGGACACAGGGCGGGGAGGTGGGCAGGGCAAGACCCCAGGCTGTCCACCCCCATGCTGGTTGCAGGGGGCAGGGACCAGCCCTGAGCCCATCGCCCCACACCCCTGCAAGGCTCAGGGGATGCCTGGGCCGTCTGTGGCAGCGCCTGCAAGGATCCCGGGTCTGGGCCAGGCCCTTCCACATCCTGGGCCGTGTACTTGGCAGTGGTGCCGGTCACCCACAAGCCTGGATCTAGCGTGCCGCCCACAGCCTGCCCCGAGGGCTCTGCCTGCTGCGGTGACCCGAGAGGCAGCTCTGTCTCCTCACTCGTGGGCAGTGGCCTCGCGTCAATCTCCTTTCTAGGAGAAGTGCACGTGGCAGGCTGAACAGGGAAATCTAACTGCCCAGGACGAGGTCCAGCTGGGCAGGGTGATGGGTGGGAGGGTCCCTACTGGTCTTCCAGAAACGACCGCGCTTGGCCGCGGGGTGTGGGCTGCGTCTCCACAGCGTCTCGCAGGTCTGTGAACCCTCAGGAGGGGCCCGCAGCTTCCAGTGAATGCCGCGGCAGGGGAGGCGGTGCGGTGGTGGTGCAGACGCCGGCACCTGCCAGTGCAGGCTCCCCAGCACTGCAGGGAACTCGAGCTGCCCGCCCGCTCGGCCGAGCTGGGGGCCTGGGGAGGGGCTCACTGGGCATCCGGCTTGGCTGCTTCCTCTCCCCACCGACTGCTGCTGTGCGCACTAGCTGTTCCTCTGCTCACTTCTAGGAGTTCTTGTATCCTACAACACCGCGTCCCCAACGCGGTGTGCACACTCCTCCGTGCATTGATTTATAAAGCCCTTGTGGCCAGGCGGGTGCAGACCCGGCTCAAGGAGACCCCAGCTCCGGGGCCACACTACCCTGTCCGCAGGCTCTGCCACATCTGAGCTGGGCGGAGGCGGCTGTGGCTGAGGGGCTGGGGTGCGACCTTGGCGGGATGCCAGGCTCTGCTCACCACTGGGGGGGGACGTGTGGGTGCGACCCCAGGGGGGTGCGAGGCTCTGCCCTTACTTGCTCATCTACCTCCGACCCTGCCAGGTCGGCTGCCCTGGCCAGCACTTCTGAGTGGTGGGGTGTGTGTGCTGTGACCCTGAGGGGGCTCAGCCGGTCAGGGGCGGCTCCTCGGCACTGACCTTCATGCGGTCGTACTTGTCATCCACGTCCTGCAGCCAGGAGATGAACTGGCGGGCGTTGAAGCGGTCCCGCACCGACTTGTTCTCGTCCCCCTGTGGGAACCAGAAACACAGGTGTGGGGATGGGACTGCTGGCTCATTCAGGAGCCAAGAGGCACGAGCCGTGCCCGCGCCCAAACGCTTCCACAGAAGAGCCGTGGAGGGGCAGGGCCTTGCTTTCTGTTCCAGATGTGTTTACGTTTGAACGACAGAGCGAAGGGGAGAGCGAGCTCTTCCATCGCCAGTCACTCCCCAAATGCCCGCAACAGCCGGGCCGGGCCAGGCCGGGCCAGGAGCCGGAACTCCATCCGGGTCTCCCCCGTGGGTGGCAGAGGCTCGGGCACTTGAACCCTCACCTGCTGCTTCCCAGGCGCGTGACGAGCAGGGGGCTGGAGCACTGCTCCCCACAGGACGCGGTGGCCCAGGTGAGCCCAGGCCCCTGCTTGTGCGTGTGTATGACACGCGTGTCCTGGGAGAAGTGAAGCAAGGTGCCCTGCACTCTGCCTCCACCTTCTCCAGGACCTGCAAAGCCGGCAGCGGCTCAGCTCACAGCGACCAAGTTTTCAGAGAGGCGGAGGTGGTGACCGAGGGTCCTGTGCAGCCTCCTGGCTGTCCTCACCTGCGTGGAGCGCTCTGGGCTTGGTAAACGGGGAAGCGAGCCTTGGAGGAGAAGAGAAGGGCTGCGCCCACCTGACTGGGTGGCTCCTGAGCGCTGGGAAGGACCGTGGTACAGGAGCGCCCTCTGCTGGCTGAGTGTCAGGAGGACAGCTAAGCCAGAAATTCTGCTCTGTGCTTGCCAAGCGGGGAGTCTCAACCAATCAAAGATGTGTTGGGTGTTGAGTGCGTTAAAAAAGTTATTAAAACTCACTAAACCACTGGGTGTCACCACTGGCAAGGCCCTGGGCGGTGCTCGGGCTCCCCAGGGCTGGGGAGGGGTCCTCAGAGGCATCTGCCGTGGGACTTGGCCCCAAGGTCTCAACAGCAAGGAGGGACGAGTCTCAGGCAAGTCGGCGCTGGGCACAGGGAGGGCAGGGCCCACTCGGCACACGCCTGGTCTGACCTGTGAGCACGGGCATGTCACAAGTCCCCGTTCTAGAAGACTGCCAAGGCCAGCAGCCACAGTGTGTGGCCAGGAGGTAGGCAGGGGCCACCGCATGTTTAGGCAGAGAGGAAGGAGGTGCAGGCTCAGGCCAGCACTGAGGGGGCAGGTGCTGCCCGGACCATTCCAGGGAGCAGCCTCAGCCTGGGGGGCGGGGGCCGTGTCCCCTTGGCTCCACCCCTACTTGAATAGAAGATGCTGTCAGCAATGGTACCCTCATGTGTTTCAGCAAAGACTGGACCCGGAGGCCCAGCCCTGGGCCTGAGGCCCTGCTCTCGTCCACCTGCTGAGGCTGACCGAGGCGGGGCAGCCCGCGGGCCGTGGGGGGGTGGGGGGCTGACCTGGCTCTCCAGAGGCATGTTGTAGACCTCCGAGTCCAGCAGCATGGTGCAGGCGCTGAACGGGACTGCCTGGTTGGCGATGGTCCTGGCGGCCCGGCAGTGCACCCGCAGGATCTCCTGCTCACAGGACACGATCAGCTTCTCCTGGAGGCGGAGGCGGAGGCGGAGGCGCTGGTGAGCACCACACGCGCCTGCTCCCCCCGCATCCCGCGCCCGTGGGTGCGCAGCTGCCCCAGCCCCCGAGCCCCGTACCCGCTCGATGCTGTGCTGCAGACGCAGCTTCCCCCGCACCGCCTCCTGCTGCTTGAACAGCTCCTTCAGGGGCTCTGCCAGGGAGGGAGGGGGCGCGATCTGCAGGCACAAGGGGCGGGGAGAGGTCAACAAGACTTCAGTTCACACGGGTCCTGGTCCAGCGAGCCCCGGCCACCTTGAGACGTTCTTCCGTCACCAAGAAAGAGCACCCTGGATGCTGGGCACCAGAGAGCCACCCTGGCCCCAGCCCCAGTCGTCGCGACCCTCCGTGCACGTTGAAAGCAGACCGAGAGCGGGCGTGAGTGCCCGGCAGCGAGGCATGGGGGGCTGGCGCTTCACCTGTGGTGGGAGCCACATGCCCCAAACCAACCACTAAACTGACCAGGGCATGGCCAAGCAAAACAGCCACCGAGGGCAGGAGCTGCCCAGGCTCCCCTGGAAGCGACGCTGTGAGGCCGAATGCCTGGGAAGGGCAGGGGTGACGCAGTCCAGGTGGGTGTCCGGGGTGGGCCCTCGGTGCTGTAGCTCCACACACCGCGCGTGGACGAGCACAGGTGTTGTCAGCAAGAACCAGGTCCCGTGCTCAGAGAGAGAAGACTCAAGGCCAGGGCAGGCCAGCTGAGCAGAGACCAGGCCTGCGTGGGGTCTGGCGCTCGAGCAGACCCACAGTCAGCTGCTGCATGGATGCCAGTGCCCATCTTGGGCAGCAGGGCAGGCTGTCCTGACAGCACAACTCCAGCAGATACCGCACGCGCGGCAGGGCCCACAGAGGAGGCTGAGTGAGGAGGGCGGAGGCCTAAGGAGAGGTGCCGCCATGGACAGCTGTGCTCCCGGTCAACCCCACATCCCACCCAGGACTCCTCCAAGCTGTGCCCTCACTGCTGTGGTGGACGCCTGACCCACACCCACACACCTGCATAGACGCCCACACCTGGGCTCCTGCTCTGAATCTCATCTTGGCTTACAGCCAAACTGGCTGGGTCCCCCACCTCACGCAAGGCCTGGCCCACCATATGCTCTCTGCCTCTGGCCCAGGGCCGAGTGTGCCAACCAGGTGTGGCCTTGCTCTACCCTGGACAGAGCCCAAGCCCTGGAGCTGCTACCGCGGCCTTGCACCCAGAGGGAGTACCACAGCCTTGTGGAACCAGCACCCTGGGCCGGCTTGCTCTGAGGACCTGGCTCAGGCCCCGGATGCAGGGGTCCTGGGTGTCCTGCCTGCCGGGGGGTGCTGTCACTGGGAAGGGAAGCTGGGTGGGTTGGAGCCAGCACCTGACACACTGAGCATGCTCCTTGCAGCCTGGGGCCCCCCAGGCCTGGCTGTGCCCCGCACAACAGCAGGTCTCAGCTCTCAGTCCCCAGAGGACGTGGCTTCCCTAACTTGTCCACTCAGCAGCCGTGTGGCTGGGAGCTGCACACCCAAGAGCCGGCTTTTGCTCAAGAGGTGAGTCAGCCGTGCCGTGCCGTGCCGTGCCGCGCCGCGCACCTACAGGGGCTGTGGGCTGGGGCTGGCCCGAGCAGAGCGGTGGGGGCCTGGCTCTGCCATGAAGGAGGCTTTGCCTGTGATGCTGAGGACACGTGTGAGCAGGAGCAGCCAGGTGCCCATGACAGCGACCGGGCACAGTGTGTCTGGCAGGACGCCTGGGGGTGGCGGTGGCGCCACGATGTTCCACCAAGCCAGCTGGGGAGGAAGCAGCACAGAGGCCCAGGTGTATGGTGGGACTGGGATGAGACTCAAGGACTGGGCTGCAGGAGCACAGGACGAGGACAGGCCTAGGCCTAAAGCCCCAGGGGGAGAGAGAGGGGGAGAGGGTGTGTGTTGGGGGGGCTGGGGGATGACCACCACTCTCACTGTGCAAATGCAGGGGGGTGGCAGGTGCACTGAGGGCCACACAGGTGGAACCCAGCGTGGGCAGAGGACCATGCCGGGGCAGGCGGGGATGCAGGACAGCGCTAGGTGGACCCTGCGTAGAGCCAGCATGAGGCTAGGATCCGGGCTCACTGGACACAGGCTCTGAGGGCCAGGGAGGTGGCCAGTGTGGCACCTGAAGGGGAGACGACCGTGCCAGCGGCCCTCCTGGCCCCCAAGGCTGCCGGGGCACTCACCACAGGGATGTGCAGTTTGCTGAGGGGCTTGCCGTCCAGCAGGTAGGAGCCAGTGTAGGTGACGTACTCGGCGTAGCACTGGGGCGCCTGGGGCGGGATGAAGCACAGGATCTTCCGCTTCTCCTCGATCTTCTTCCTGATCTGCAGGTACTCAAAGTAGGGGTTGGACCTGTCGCTGTGGTAGGGCTCGATGGCGTCCAGCTTGATGGCGTCCACAATGGCGGCCAGCGTCTGCTGGATGACCTCCCGCGTCTGCTGCGTGGACGTGTGCAGCTGCTGCAGCTGCTGGCTAGAGCGCTGGAAGCGGCGCTTTCGGGGGTGCTGGGACTGGGCGTCCTCCTCCTCCGAGCCCCGGGCCTTGGCCCTGGGGGCAGGGGTGGGCGGGGCCTCCCTCTCAGCAGGGGGCGTGCTCTGCTTGCTCTGACTGGCCAGCATCTGGGCTCGGTTCCTGGTCATGCGTTGAGGGATCTCCTCCACCTTGGGGACTCGGGGTGCTTCGGCTGGAGGCTTGGGCTCCGGCTCCGTGGCCTCCGACTGCAGGCCGCCTGGGAGGTTCTCGGCCAGGGCTGGGGCGTGGGCAGGCACGGCCTCTTCCTCGTCCCGGCCAGCACTGTCCACGGCCTTCGGCTGTGTCGAGCTCTGCGTCGAGCTGTCCACGGTGGGGCCATCAGGTGGGCACTGAGAGGCGGCAGAGTGGTCGGTGGCCTCGGTCTCTTCGTCCTTGCCCGCCAGGGGTTGTTGTCCAGTGGCCGCAGGCGCCGAGCTGGAGTCGGATGCCTCGGGGCCCCTCTCGTCTGCCACGGTCCCTGCTTCCACCGCGCCTTCTACAGGCAGCTCCACCCTCGGCGCCTCGGAGCTCTCGTGCTCGCTGGCCGGCCGGCTGCAGGGCTGGTCCGGGGGCGGCGCCGGCTGCTCCTCGGCAGGCAAGGAGGGGACGTCCCCACCATCCGCGGCCACAGGGGCCCCAGGAGGAACCTTCTCTGGCGGACCGAGAGCCGCTTCTACGGGCTCGGCCTCGACATCGGGGACGTCCTTGGCCTGCAGAGGGAGCTCTGGCAGCGAGAAGGGGCCTAGGTCTAGGTCGTCCTCAGAGGTGGGGAAGGCGTCCGGCCAGGCCACCGGCTCCACCTGGGCGAGGGCAGGCAGGTTCTGGCTGCTGTCCAGGAAAGTGTTTTCCAAGGCTCCCAGAGGCTCCACCGGAGCCACGGTGGTCATACACGGAGGCTCAGGCTCCACGGCCAGGGGCGCTTCCGGAAGTGAGGTGCAGTTGCTGAAGAAGGGCCCCAGCCTCGCAGGCGGTGCACAGGGCGTGGCCTCCTCGGCTGTGGCGACAGCGACCGGCAGTGTCTCCACCCCATGGTCTTTGGCTTCCTCCAGCCCCGGCTCGGGAACTGGCAAAGGGTAGGAAACAGGAGAGACGGGGTACGAGGTTTCGGAGGCACCCAAGGGTCCAGGGGCAGCAGTGGGGAGGGGCTCTGCAGGGCAGAAATGCCCCGGGGACTCTGGGAACCTCTGAGGTGACTTCAGCAGCAGTTCCGAGCCCACAGGCCAGCTGACGGGGTTTTCGGAGGACAGGGCCTGCTCAGCCGCAGGGTGGGCCCACTCAACAGGCTCCTCGGTGATGACGGCACTGAACGGGCCCTCGTCCAGGGGCTCCAGGTAGCTGGGCTCTGGGGGGATGATGGCGGCGGTGGCTTGCTGGTCCTCGGTGGCATCCAGAGGAAGGCCCAGGTCAGGAGCCAGCGACCCTTCGATAGGAGGGGCCAGCAGTTCGCCTCTGGGAGAAGGGGAGGATTTGGCCTGTAAACTGGAGAAGACGCCCTCAGGGGAGGGGGTGACGCTGACCACGGCTGCAGGAGGGCAGTGCAAGGCCTCGGCCTTGGGCGAGGGGAGGCCATAGTCCGGGGAGTAGTAGCCTGGGGACAGGCAGGCAAACTTGTCCGTGGGGACAGCCGGCAGGGGCCCCTTGTCTTCCAGCAGGTGCTGCACTGGGGAGTTGTAGCTGGAGGCCGCGGGGACACTCTGCTGCCGGAACAGCTTGTCCCCAACACTGAACTCCTCCTCGGGGGTCCTCCTGACGTCCACGGACACGGAGCGATACAGGTTTGTGGAGAGAGGCCTCGTGGGAGTCTGGCTCGGGTTTTCCGGGAGCCCACTCGAGGCTACGGAGAATCTGTCAAAAAACGAGGGGGAGCAGGCGTTTGTGGAGGTGGCGGAGACGGCCATCGAGTGCTGGGAGTCGGCGCAGTCGAACACCAGGTCGGTGTAGTCCTCGGCCGAGCAGGACGGGGTCCTGGGCGTGTGCATCACCTCCTCGTAGCTGGGGCAGGACACCACCGAGGTGGGCGTGGGCACCCCGGTCGGCCGGCCCTGGTCGGGCCTGGGGGAGGCGGGCAGCCCCTCCTTCACGGGAGGCCCGGCGAGCCAGTCTTTGGGTTCGGCGCCCGGCCCCCCGTGCAGCTTGCTCTCGGCGGCGGGTGGAGTGGGCGCCGCCTCCTTGAGCTTCCGGTCTCTGCAGGGGGGCTCGGGGCCCAGCGGCTTCTTCAGGGGGAGGTCGAGGCCCTTCTTGCGCCCCTCGTCGGCGGCCTTGGCCTTCTCCTTGAGCCTGGGGTCCCCCGAGCGGTGCCGCATCTTCTCCATCTGCTTCATGCGCTCCTTGTGCCGCTTGTGCCGCTCCTCCACCTCCAGGTCCTTCTGGGACAGCATCCTCTCGAAGCTCGTCATCATGAGGTCGCCATCCCCCAGCAGCTTCTCGCGTGGCCGGGCGTCCTTCCTGCCCACGTCCCGGGGCGGCGGGGGCGGCGGCAGGGGCGGCGGCTTCTCGCTCCCGGCGCCCAGCTTCCCCGCGTCGCCCCGGTCCTGCTTCTCCTTCACTCGGGCCTCACCCGGCCTCAGGCCCTCGTCCCTGGCCTTGTCCTTGAAGGCGCCCGGGGGGTTGTCCTTGTCCCTGGCGTGGCGGTCCCTGTGCTTGTCCCTCTCCTCGCGCCACTTCTCCCTGTGTCTCTCTCTCCTCTTCTTCTCCTTCAAGATGCTGAGGGCGCTGGACCCGTACGGCTTGAGCTCTTTCTCGGCCCTCTTGGCAGGCTCGCGCTCGGGGTCGTTTCTGTCTCTCTTCTCGGCGGAGAGCAAGTCCATGGTCCGCTCCAGCGCGTCCTCCGCCTCGGCGCCCAGGCCGTAGGGAGGGCCGCAGGGGTCGGCGCCCAGCAGCTCCTTCTCGCCCTGACCGCAGCCCTGCCGGTCCTCGCTGCGCTCCTTCTTCTCGGCCTTCTCCTTCTTGGCTCGCTCGCGGTCGTGGCTCTTCTTGGACGAGGACGAGGAGTGCCTGTGCCGCTCCTTCTCCCTCAGCCGCTCGGGCAGGCCGCAGGCTTCCTTGGCCTTGTCGTCGGCCGGCGGCTCCGGAAAGGACAGCTCGAGGAGGGCGCTCAGGCCGGGGTCCTGGCCGCGCTCGGCGAAGCTGTCGGCCGAGGCCTCGCTCACGCGGTCAGCGCCGTCCTCGCGGCACTCGTGCAGGGCCTCCTCCTCCAGCTTCTCCAGCAGGCTACGCTCGGAGTCCGCGCCCCGGGCCGACTTCCGGTCCCTGGCGTGCTCCCTGTCCGCCTTTTCCCGGTGCTTGCCTTTGGCCTTGTCTTCGGAGCAGTGCCTCCTGTCCGCCCTGTCGGGCAGCTTCTGCTTGCTCCTCCTATCCGAGGCGGCGTCGCCAGCGGGCCGCTCGCGCCGGTCCCTGGCCCTGTCCGCGGCCTCCTTCTCCCGCTTCTCCCTGCCTTTCTCCAGGGGCTTCTCCTTCCGCTCCTTGCCGCCGTCCTTCCTCTTGTCCCTGGGGTCCTTGTCTTTGGGCTTCTCGGCGTGCGGCCTGTCTGCGGGGGGCTTCCTGTGTCTGTCTGGGGGGTGCGGCTCCCGGCCGTCCTCGCGGTCCTGGAGCCCGTCCCCAAGGCCCTCCTTCTCGTCCTCACTCTCGTCCGTGAAGATGTCGGCCATGTACCAGCTCCTCTCCTTGCCCTTCCGCTCGGGCAGGTCTTCGGGGGCCGAGCCGGGGAACGGCCTCTCCTTCCGCTCCCGCCCCTGCTCCAGGGACGCCTTCCTCTCCTTGTCTTTGCCGTGCGTGTCCTTGTGCTTCTCCTTGGTGTCTTTCTTGTCTTTGACACTCTTGTCGAACTCCTTGTCCTTGGGACACTTGTCCAGGGCCGGCCTGTCGCCCCTGTCTCTGTCGCCGGCCTTCTCCTTGTACTTGTCGGCCTTCGCCTTCTCCTTCCTCTCCTTCTCGGGGCCCTCCCTCTTCTCCCGCTCGCGGGCAGGATGGTGCCTCTCCCAGGGCTCCAGGCCCTCGCCGACGCCGTGCTCCCTCCCGTCCTCTCGGTGCGCCTCCTCGGGCCGCTTCCGCTCCCGGGCCCCGTCTGCGAGCTCCCTCCTCTTCTTGTCCTTCTCCGCAAGGTAGCCGGGGAGCCCCCTGTGCTTCTCGGCCTGCTCTTTCCTCTTCTCGGCGCTCTTGTCCAGATAGTCCCGGTCTCTCTTCCGGAAGAAGGCGTCCCTCAGGTCGCGGGGCTTCTCGCGGGCCTTGGCGTCCCGCTTCCTCTCCTTGCTGTCGTCCTTCACGGGCTCCAGGATCAGCTTGGCCACGGGGTCCCCCTTCATGTCCCTGTAGTCCGTCCCCGGAGAGTCCCAGCTGTCCTCCCCTCTCAAGTCGAAGGTGGAGTCGGACAGGTCCGAGAACCACCTCTCGTGCTGGTCGTCGGAGAGGCTGAACTTGCTGTCCTCGTTCTCCAGGAACGGGCCCTTGGCGCAGTAGTCGTCGAAGGCGCAGTCTTCGCGCGGGGCTCGCTCCCTCTTGGGCTTCTCCTTGTCTTTCGAGGCCCTGTCCTCCTTCTTCTCGGCCTTGCAGGGCCGCTCCTTCGCCTTCTTCTTCCTCTCCTCCTTGTGCGGCCGCAGCTTCTCCTCCTTGGCCGGCTTCTCCTTCTCCGCCCGGCTTGCCCGCTCCTTGTCTTCTCGGAAGGACCTGCTCAGCTCCCTCACTCTCTTCAGCGACTTCTCGTCTTTGGAGACCTTCACTATATCATCTTTAAAGAGCCATTCTTTTTCTTCCGACTTCATTTTGCTGAGTTTCTCTTCCTTCTTAAAGTGGTCTCGCTCGTGCCTCAGCACCCTGGCTTTGCCGTCGGCAGGGCCATCGCTGTCCAGGAGCCCCGCCTTCTCGGCCTTGGGCCTGCAGTCCTCGTACTCGTAGGCTAGGCTTCTCAGCTTCAGCTCCTGGCTGACGGCGCAGGCCCCTTTGCCCCTGTCCCTGTGCCTGTGCCTGGTTTTGTGTTTCTTGACGACCTTGCCGTCCTTGTCCAGCCTGGGGACGGCGCTCTTCCTCTCGGGCGCGCTGGGCAGGCCGGGGCGCTTCCTGTGCTCCTGCTTCTTCCTCGCGGGCTTCAGCGACTCCACGCTGGAGCGCTCCGAGGAGTAGTCAGACTCGCTGGTCAGTCTCGTCCTTGTGGAGTCTGACAAGGAGCTCACCTCGGACCAGGCAGGAGAGGAAATGGTTTTCCAGTTGTCCGTGCGCCAGTGCTTGGCGTGCTGGTCTGTGTGGCTGGGGTTATGCTTCTGGGCTGCGGAGCTGCCGTGGGAGGAGGCGGAGGAGGCAGACAGTGAGCTGAGCAGCGAGGGGTCTTTCAGCACCAGCGGGGACCCCTTGAGGCCGCCGGAGCTCCCCGCCGAGTCCCCGTCGTCTTCCTCACTCTCTGAAGACTCGCTCTCCGACTCTGACGAGCAGAACTTGTCACTCCTTTTCCCAAACCGAACTTCTTTGCCTTTTGTTTCTTTCTTTCGCTTCTTTTTCACTCTGTTCTTTTCTTTTTGCTGCTTGGAGTTAGAAGACTCCCGTGTTTTGTTAGCAGGCACCACTGCGTGTGCCGCGAGCCTCAGTTTCTCTCCCGGCCCCACCGCGAGGCCCGCGTCCTCCTCGTCGGACGTGTCCGACAGGATGCGATGGGCCGCCTTCTTTGGTGCGATCGTGCTGTTCTTAGTGTAACTTTTGACTTCCATCTTGGGTATGGAAATGAAGCTGTTGGCCTTGGCTTCCTTCCTGTAGTCCTTCTTCAGCAAGTGCTTGTCGTCCACGGGGGGGACCCGGTCCTGCTCGTCGTCCTCGTCGAACTCGTACTCGTCCTTGACGGGCGTCGCCGTCTTCTGGGGCTCAGGGTTCTTGGCCTTGTGCTTCAGGCCCTTCTCAAACTCAGAGTCCGTGTTGTTGCCGTCCACCGAGCTGGACGGCGCGAAGGACGGGGCATCCTCCTCTTCTGAGCTGTCTGCTGGAGACAGGGAGGGAGGCGTCAGGGCAGCGAGGGGAGAGCAGGGGCCGCCGGGGAGGGGAAGGAGGCCTGGCGGCCCCCGCTTCTGGAGAAGCAGTCCCTGGGCCTAGCTGGGCGTGCGCCGCGCGTGGCGGAAGGGGAGGCTGGCCTCTGCCGGCCGGCAGGCAGGCCCGCAGCTTACCCGTGGAGCTCTCCTCGCTGGAGGTGTAGGTGCCTTTGCCCAGTAGCAGGTTCACCATGGTGGGGGAGCTGGCCACCTTCAGCGGCGTCTCGCCCTTCCGGTTGCTCTGCTGGGGATTCCCCCCATACCGCAGCAGCAGCTTCACCACCTGCAAAACCCAACGGCCACACGGGCAGTGGTGAGGAACACGACCGAGCCCTGAGCTCCAGAGGGCGCCCGAGCTGTGCTGTGGGAGGGCAGAGGCCAGCCGGTCCCACGGGGGGCCCACTGTGTGACGGCAGCGCAGGTCTTGGCCCTCCCAGGCCACCCCACCTCCGCTTTGCCTCAGTTTCTCCTCCACAGCGAGTGCACCACTTCCCCGGGACCCCCTCACCCTGGCCCCCCCTGCCACCACAGAGAGCTCCTTGGCAGTGTCGGCTGGCAGAGCCTGGCGGTCCCGGGGCGCTAGGGGACGGGACGAGGGAGGACACAGACCCAGCATCTGCCAAGCGGTGACTCTTCCACTTACACTGGAAAACAAGATAAGCTCTCCCTGGTCTGACTCCAAGAGCAAGGACAGGCAGGTGAGGGTGGGTGACAGGGACACGCTAGGGGCACTGCCACAGCTCCGCCAGGGCTGCAGAGCCAGCATCTGTGTTCCACACACTCAGGACAGCGACTTGCTCAGCTTGAGTGAAGACTCAACTCAGCCTCAACGTTCGCCCAGCCTGACGTGACAGCATCAACACAACCTTCATCAGAGCTTAATGCAAGCCCTGCGGCCAGCCCAGCCACAGCCCGATGGTCAGCTGCCCTGTGAGCCCAGTGACCGCCCGGTGAGCTCACACGCCCACAGGTTCTGGGCTCACAGCACGGACGTCCTGGGGGCCCTGCTCCCCTTCTAGGCCAGCCCCGCAGGCCAGCAGACAGGCTGACCTGTGCACCTTGTTCAGACCCGGAGGGCGTGTTCTCCTGGGCTGTGACAGGGACTGCGTTCCTGCTCTTGACCCTTTCCCCCTGGACGATGGCTCTGGCCCTTGTGCTCCGTTTCTCAACCCTGGAGGAACCCTGCCCTCAGCAGGAGCAGCACCGTGTGAGAGGCGAGAGGGAGGCGGAGGCAGCCCCTCTGCGGCCCCCATCCCCCTGGGCGGTCTTTCTGCTAAACCCAGGTAGCCCCATGACTAGAGGACACCAGCTTTCCACATGTGCGCCTGGTGGGGCTGCAGGAATGACCCGGGATGGGGGTGGGCTCACAGAGGGGACGGCCAGGCCGTTGAGGCAGGGGAGGCACAAACTCACTTTTCTGTACCCAACAAGTACGCAAGCTGGCCAGACAGAGGAGCAGGAGCTAGAGGATGCCAACCTTGTAGTGGCCATTGTTGGCGGCATCGTGCAGGGGCGTGTCGTCATCCAGGCCCTTGGTGTTCACCTCCGCACCTGCGGCCAGCAGCTGCTTGGCAACGTCGTAGTAGCCACGGTTGCACGCCTCGTGCAGCGCTGTCCAGCCTGGAAAGAGACACTAGGACTTGGTCACCGGGTCCTGCAGAGGCTCACTCTCACGTCAGGGCCGTGCTGAGGGGCAGGGCCGGCACCTCTTGTCCGCAGTGGCCACCTCGCTGTGCTTGGCCAGCCTACAGAGTAACAAACCCTACTCGCCCTACACGTGCAAAGGGAGAGGCCCCACTTTGCAAAGTGGTAAGCGGTGGCTCAGAAAGCGCTTGTCCTCAGGCTGTGCAGATGGAGGGGCGCCTCCCACAGCCAGCTGCTGCCAGAGCGCCTGGCTGCCCCCATCGGTGTGAAAGCAGCCCCCCCCCACCACCACCACCATGGAGACAAACCCGTTTCATTTAGGAAAACTGCTGTAGAAGAGAAAGGGCTCTAGGTTAGGCAGGGGTCAGACAACAGCAGGTTTCACACAGGACCCTCCCTGCATCCCACGCTCAAGGTGATGCAAGGCGGCTCGGCACGGAGGCGCCCTCTGGTGGGGCACCAGGGGACTTCCCAAGACTCCTCCAGAACCTGGGACTGCGGATTCTGCAACACAGCGGAGTGAACATGGACTTCTCCAGCTCCCTTCAAGGCAATGAAGACCAAAACTGAAATACTTCCTGAGAAACCACCACTGCGCCTCACATACGGCAAGCCGTGAGCGTGGGCCAGGCCACAGAAAGTCCAGGGAGGGCCGCCATCCCAGGCCCCGGCGCGGGGGGCACTCACCAGCAAAGTCCTTGACGTTGACGTCCGCCCCCTCGCCGATGAGCTCCTTGATGCGGCGGGCGTCCCCCCGGATGGCGGCGCGGTGCAGGCGCGTCTCCCCACGCTCGTTTCTCTTATTCACTTTGTCTTTGGTCTTGGAGGCGGAGGTGGGCGTGCCCTTCTGGCACACCGTGGACTGGGAGGGGTGCTTTGGCGTCGTGTCAACTGCAGGCCAAGGAAGGACAGGCAGGGCATCAGCCTCTCGCACGAGGGGAAGGGTCGCCCATGCCCGAGTACCCCCAGGAGCAGCCAGTCGGTCCCCAAGCCAGGGCCCTTGGCCGCCTGGGCTCACCTGGGCTGTTTGCAGACTCCTCTGCAGTCATCTGCATGAGGAGCGCCACCTGCTGGCGCTCAGAGAGGGGGTAGCCGGCGCGGATCCCAGAGAGCCCCATGCCGAACAGCAGCCCAGCCTTGCGTGTGACAGGCTCCTTCTTGATCCTCTTCCGCTCGGGACCCTGCTTCTCTGTGAGGCAGGTGGAGAGAGGGAGAGGAGGTTTCATGCCACAGGACCCTGGGAACTCAGGCTGTCACCCAGTGTGGCAGGGCCCCTCTACTGCACCTGCAGCTGTCAGAGCATCAAGTGGTTAGAGGGGCAAGCAAGGCACAAGAAATGGAAGCGTCCAGACCCCCGCTGGCTGCAGCTCGGACACCTGCTTATCAGCCAGATACCCACCGAGTGCCTCCTGAGCCCCAAGAGCTCCCGCCACAGACGTGCAGCTGCCAGGCACCCGTGGCCAGCCCCCAGGACAGGCCTCTGTTGGGAACACACGCTTGGGATGGAATCTACCTTCCCACTCTGCCTCAAACAAGCAGTGCATAAATCGAGGCCGACTGCTCAGTCCTGTACCTATCTTCTGGGAACCTCTGCTATGCCACGGGGCTTCCAGCAGCAAACCAGCCTCAGTCCCATGAGGTGGACTGAGTGCAGGCATCAGCACAGGGCACTCACGAGACGTCCCGTCTACCTCCAGCTCTTCTTCCCAAAGGGGCAGCGCTGGACTCCCTAAACCTCTGATGCACCCTCCGATGCCCGCTGGTTCACTCCTCAACTGGCCGCAATGGCCGGAGCTGTGCTGATCTGAAGCCAGGAGCTTCTTCTGGGTCTCCCAGGCGGGTGCAGGAGTCCAGGACTTGGGCCGTCTTCCACTGCTTTCCCAGGCCACAGCAGGGAGCTGGATGGGAAGTGGAGCAGCCGGCACTCGAACTGCGACCATATGGGATGCTGGCACTGCAGGTGGTGGCTTACCTGCTACACCCAGCACCAGCCCCAGTAGGTGAAGGGTCTCACAGCAGTCCCAGTGTGCTGCCAGCCCCGGGTGTGGGTCACTGCGACTCAGCTTCCGTCTCCAGACCAAGGATGGAGGAAAGCAGTGTGGGCAGGGCAGAACAGGCCCCAGCCACGGCTGCTCGCTTTCAAGGCACTGAAGCACGGTGAGAATTTAAGAAAACAGCAGCACTGAGCCCTGCTGAGCTCTGAGCCTTCCGAAGCAAGAGGTCATGGGAGCTGGGCAGGGTCCTGAGGAGCTGCACTGGCACTTAGAAGGCCAGAACCACAAATTCCCACACACCAGAACCTGACAGGTGAAAACAGTAAAAGACACAGAGGTTGAAAAATGTCCCCAGAGGCCAGCACTGTGGTGTAGTGAGCTGAGCCTCGGCCTGCAGCACCAGCATCCCATACAGGTGCCAGTTCGAGTCCTGGCTGCTCCTCTTCCAATCCAGCTCTCTGCTATGACCTGGGAAAGCAACAGAAGATGGCCCAAGTCTGTGGGGCCCTGCACCCACATGGGGGACCCAGAAGAAACCCTTGGCTCTTGGCTTCAGATTGTCCCAGGTCCAGCTATTGTAGCCATTTGGGAGTGAACCAGTGGGTAGAAGACCTTTCTGTGTCTCCCTCTCTCTGTGACTCTACCTCCCAAATAAATAAATAGATTTTCAAAAACCCAATCAAACAAAACTGTCCCAATCCCTGTGTGCAGCCAGGACAAGGCCAGGCAGGCTCCGGTTACCGCCCTCCCTGCCCCTGGTCGCTCTGCTGCGCCCTTATCCTGGAAGTCCTAGGGTGCTCACTGACCCTCGGGGTTGGCCACCAGCCTGAGCGCACTTCTGAGCCCTCAAGGCAGGCCTTTCTGAAACTTGGGGAAATGGAAATGTATTTGAAAGTCAGAGCTACAAAGACAGAGAAGGAGAGGCAGAGAGAGAGGTCCTCCATCTGCAACTGGCCCCAACAGCCGGAGCTGCGCCAATCTGAAGCCAGGAACCAGGAGATTCTTCCGGGTCTCCCCCATGGGTGCAGGGGCCCAAGGACTTGGGCCACCTTCCACTGCTTTCCCAGGCCATAGCAGAGAGCTGGATGGGAAGAGGAGCAGCGGGACTAGAACTGGCACCCATATTGAATGCCGGCACTGCAGACGGTGGCTTTACCCGCTCCGCCACAGCACCGGCCCCAACGGAATCTTAAAAAGGAAAAACTTTTCCTTGCTAGTCTAAGCTCCCCTTTGAAGAAAAAACAGCTTTAACTGAGAAAGGAAAAATGGTTTAAAAGCAGCACAACCAGTGACACATCATGCTGAACTCTCAATTACTTGAAAAGAGTTTATTTCAGGGCTGATGCTGTAGCACAGGTTAAGCCACTACTTAGGATGCTGGCATCCCCAGTCACAGGGCAGGTTTGAGTCCCAGCTGCTCCGCTTCCAATCCAGCTAGTGCCTCTGGGAAGGCAGAAGATGGGCCCAAGTGCACGAGTCCCTGCACCCATGTGGGAGACGCAGATGGAGTTGTGGTGACCATTTGGGGAGTGAGGCCACAGGTGGAAGACGCCTCTCTGTCCCTCGCTGCTGCTGCGGCTGCTGCTCTACCTTCGAAACAAATAAATCTTATTTGTTTGAATTTTTTTTTTTTTAATTATTTTTTTTTTTTTTTTTTTTTGACAGGCAGAGTGGACAGTGAGAGAGAGAGACAGAGAGAAAGGTCTTCCTTTTGCCGTTGGTTCACCCTCCAATGGCCGCCGCGGCCGGCGCGCTGCGGCCGGCACACCGCGCTGATCCGATGGCAGGAGCCAGGAGCCAGGTGCTTTTCCTGGTCTCCCATGGGGTGCAGGGCCCAAGCACCTGGGCCATCCTCCACTGCACTCCCTGGCCACAGCAGAGGGCTGGCCTGGAAGAGGGGCAACCGGGACAGAATCCGGCGCCCCGACCGGGACTAGAACCCGGTGTGCCGGCGCCGCTAGGCGGAGGATTAGCCTAGTGAGCCGCGGCGCCGGCCATTTGTTTGAATTTTTAAGATTTATATTTTTCATTATTTGAAAGGCAGAGATACAGAGAGAAGGAGAAAGAGAGATAAATTTTCCATTTGCTGCGGCACTCCCCAAACAGCTAGGGCTGGGCCAGGCTGAAGCCAGGGGCAAGGAGCTTTCTTCCAGGTCTCCCACATAGCTGGCAGGGGCCCAACTACTTGGGCCGTCTTCCACTGCTTTCCCAGGCCATTAGCAGGAAGCTGGATCAGAAGTGGAGCAGCCGGGACTCGAACCATCACCCATATTGAATGTCGGCACGGCAGGCGGTGGCTTAACCTTCTACACCACCGCGCCAGCCCCATAAATCGATCTTAAAAAAAATTGATTTTTATATGCTTCTTTGCAAGTGAGAATCCCAAAGCCTCCATTCAAGTCAGGTCCTTTGCACCCTTGGGCCCCACTAACATCCACAGAGCAGACCTGTTCTGACAGACAGAACTCAGCTGGCCCTTACCTGATTCCCGGGCGGCAACAGAGCCCCAGACCCACCCAGCCCGAAGCCTGCACCGGGCCTGACCGTTCTCTCCTGTCGTGGCAGGGTTAGGGTTGGCAACAAGTTTGTCTGGTGGGGGTTCTGGGACAAAAGGACCAGGAAGCAACAGCGTCCAGTGTTACACTGGGAAAAGGTGGGCAGAGAGCCAGAGGTGGGTCTGGCCCGGCCCTGCCGGACTCCACTCTGTGTTCCTGGCTCACTGTGTGCACAGGGGAGGGGACCCAGGCTGAGGCTGCAAACAGGCTCTGCCAGCCACGACCAGCACTCACCAGCGTGCGGCTGACACAGCACAGTCTTCTTACACACTCAGCACCCGCAGTGCTTAGCTCCAAGCAACTCTAGCACACCCACGGCTACGGACGCCCACGGCAAAGCCCATCTCCTCCAAGGAACGGGCTGGCCTGGAGCAGACCTCGGACACACCCTTCCTACCACAGGAACCAAGCGATCACACTTGGAAAAGGAACAACCCCGCTGAGTGACGGGGCATTGCCACGTGCACGGGGGGGGGGGGGGGGGGAGACCCTCAATCACAAGATGCAAGCAGGACAAGACAGTGTTTCCCATTTTGCTCAAGAGAAACACGCAGGGCTCTGAGGAGACAGCGGCAGGGGAGGAAGACGGCCGAGATGCCAACCTGAGGGCTGCAGCAGAGTGCCCCAGCAGGGGCGGGAAGCCCTGGAGGCTGGTCAAAGCTGTCACACTCAGAGATCACTCAGCAGGAGACACAACAGTGTCATTAAAAGCAAACAGCGACACAATGTAACTGCAGCCTAAATATTCGGGTGCTAAAGCTCCAACCTAATACCACTGTCCCACGGGCAGGACACACGTGGGGCTGAGCTGGACAGGATGCTGTGGTTCAGACCACGGTCTCATTTCCTGGCTGAAGGGGCCGCCTGCTTGGGCAGCAGGTGGAGCTGTTAGCCGGCTTATGGCCTGGCATGTCATAAGGAGGAGCCCGTGGCCTGCCATGGGGCTCAGACCAAGGTGCCCTTCCTCCCGTTGCATTTGCCCTGCAGCCACACGGAGACCTGGCCCCGGCACCTGCTCCTGCCCAGAGCCTCCGGAACAGCACAGCACTTTCCTAGGTGCTCCTGTCTTCTGCGACGTCCAGGCTCCAATTCACAAGGCAGAACCACCCTGTCCTGGTAGGCTGCCCTAGAATGCATCACGTGGAGGACTGAACCCTGTCAGGGTTGAGGCAGTGCAGGGGCACAGCCAAGTAGCTTCCCTGGGCTCATGAGCACCACCCTCAGTCCTCAGGAGCAACGGGCAATGCGGTGGCCTCCTTGGCAGAAGGTGAGGAGACGCTGCGGCAGGAAGCTCTGTGGGGTGCCGGGGGCAGCCTTGGGCCTGGGGACCCTCCCTCCCTCCCTCCCTCCTCCATGCCTGTCACTCCTGGGGACCAGAATGGTTCTCTTGGCCTCACCCCATGTGGCTCCCATCAAGGCCACAGGCTGGGGTGTGGCTGGATGCAGCAGAGCAGACATGCTGGTTTAAAAGGTTTTGGTGAAAAAGTCAGCGTTCCAGCAAAAATTCCACACCTCTGTGTCAGAATCACTTTACTGGGAAATCTAATACATTACACAGGTATCCAAGAAAATGGTGTTTTAGAATCAGGCCGCAGACCAGCACTGTGGTAGCACATTAAAGTTGCTGTCTGCATCCCATATGGTGCTGGTTCACATCCCAGCTGCTCCACTTCTGATCCAGCTCCCTGCTAACGCGCCTGGGAAAGCAGTGGAAGATGGCCCAAGTGCTTGGGCCCCTGGCTGTGGCCTGGCCCAGCAATGGCTATCCAGGAGTCAACCAGCGATGGAAGATCAATCTCTCTTTGAAAATAAGGAAGTAGAACCTTAAAAAAATTAATAGAATCAGGCCCTGAGGGAAACAAACAGAAGAGTAGGAAACCTTTTACATTTCTTCCCTGCTTGCCTAGAAAGCTGTTCTCACAGTGGTCCTCACTGGTGTCCAGCCCCACCACGGCTAACTCTGCCGTGAGCTCTTACGGCCAGGCCACAGGACCCCTAGGGGCCTGCAGAGAACAAGGAAGCCGGTGGAGCAGCCCACCCAGTGACAGGCCGGCGAAGGCACCAGCACCCAGGAGGGCCTGGGTAACAAGCATGGCCAAGCACGGCGGCATGGTGCGGTCGGGGAGGGAGGGGGCCCTGAACAGAAGGCCCGGCCCTGCTGGGCGGTGGCAGCACCGCAGAGCTCGTGGATGCCTCCCCGCACGGCCATCACCCAGAAAGCAGAGCTTCGGCAACGACCTTCCAACACCAGGAACTATGGGTGCTGTCCCTACAGCAGGTCGCCCCTCCCCCAACCTTTAACCAAGGCTCCCGCGGCCAACACAGGAGCTCACAAAGGCCCTGACATGCCCCCACCCCTGCCTTGCAGAGTGAGGGTGCTGCCCAGGATGCAGAAGGCCCAGGCCCGCCCCGGACACAAGTAGAGGAGCTGTGCTGACCCTGCTCGGTAGCTCTAGACCCTGGCCACACCCAGGAGGCCAGTCTGGCCCCACTCCCTTTGGGCACCCCCTCAATTCTCACTGCACACCGCGGCAAGTGGCTCAGGTGCCTTTGCAGCCTCCTGCAGAGCATGGCAGCCTGACAGCTAAAGCCTGGGGGCCCCGAGACCACAGCCACCCAGGGCTGTCTCCTGCCTGCACTGCCCCAGGAGCTACGGTGGGGCTGGGAGGGGCCGGTACCTGTGTCAGAGTCCTTCTGCTCGCCATTGGCCCCCACGGTGAAGGGGAGCTTCCGTTTGGTTGCACGCTCTCTCACCTCCTTGGCTCCATCACTGCGGTCCAGCTTTGGCGTCTTGTTTAGGGAAACTTTATCTTTATCCTAGGAGAGAAAGTGATGCATTCAGACACCAGAAGTGCGATTCTCCAAACCCACTGCCTGCCTCCCTTCTCCTTCACGGGCCAGGAGTGGAGCTCCTGCCTGGGTGATGTCCAGCTCTTCCTGCCCCAGGCTGACATGTGCAGAGCCAGCCAGGCTCCTGGCCATGCCCCTGCCTTGGCAAGAGCGATGGCCTGCCACAGATCAGTCCAGCCACGCCCCGTCCTGCACCTGGAGGACTCTGGGGAAATCGCTGCCGACGAGCCTTCCTGGTGCAGGACGCAGGCAGACAGAAGGCACCCACACGCCTCCGACCCCAGCCCTTGTGTCCTGGGTACTAAGTCAGGAGGAGAAACGAGACAGAGGCTGCCGGTGCAGGCAGTCGCCCAGGGGTGCTGGGGCACCGGGAAGGCAGGCCGAGCGCCCTCCTTTCTGGAGCTGCAGTCGCCGCCTACTGCCACCAGACGCTCCCTGGGCAGCAGTCTGCCTCTTCTGCTCCTGATGCCCCGCTTTCTGCCCTCGCTCTGGCCAGGGACACGCCAGGAGTCAGAGCACATCTGGATGCAGCATCCCCGCCCGATGAAAGGCCAGCACGTGCCTCAGGCATCCACAGCATTGTGGAAGGAACAGGGCAGCCCTGGGGAACTGGACACACTGCACACACGTGTCCAGAGGGCAGCACTGTGGGCAGCTCCTGCAATCTCACTTAAGGGGATGTCTCCGTCTGTGGCTCGGAGGTGACAAGACATGAGTGTCCGGATCCCAACATCAGGAGGAGGAGGAGGTGGAGGTGCGAGGCAGAAGCAGGAACTCCTCTCACTGGGACTGGTCTCAGGGCAAAGGCGCAGGTCCCCAGGCTGCCCAATGAATGCTCACACCGCACAAGGTAAAGGCGGCCCCAGAAGCCCTGACCTCTTCCACCCAGGTTGTAGGGGGCGGCCCTGGGGCCTGGGTGCATGCTCACACGCTGCAGCAAAGTGGTTCAACCCCAGGAAGCCCCCGAGGGAGGCCTCGGTGTGGTCCTCTGGCAGCAGACATGGGCACCGGGGCTACTGCGCCTCCTGCGGCAGCTTGCTTGCTGGAACGCCCCCTGGAAAAGCCGCGGGCCCCAGGATCCACCCTCAGCACGCTGGAGACCCCTCGAGTCTCCTGGCAGAACTGCTCTGCCTCAGGGCCAGTGCTGGCCAGTCCTGCCACCCAACCATCCAAAAACCAAACACCAGTCTTGTCCGAATCCTTTCAGAGCAGAGAGAGGAGCAATGTCCCCACTAGTCTAGCGAGGCTGCCGTGATCACAGCCCTAGAACTGGAAGCCCGAACCGCGGACAAGGGGGACTCAGATTTGAGTTCCTGGCTCCTGGCAGGCCCACCCCGGCTACTGAGGGTATCTGAGGAGTGAACCAGAGAACAGAAGATGTCTATCTCCAACTGACTTTCAAGTAAATAAAAATACATCCATTTGTAAAAACTAAACAGACATGGGTGGGGACATCTTCCTGGGAATGCTGACAGCAGGAAGCGAGGTTCTCCCCTATGATGAGGCTCAAGTCGTAACAACTCAACTGCCCACCACAAGAAAACCATTCTAACAAAATGCTGCACGCGCATGGCCGCCACCAAGCCTTCCAAGGCGACCTGCAGGAGGAGCACAGCTGCACTGAGTGTTCAGGTCCAAGCTGGGAGACATCTGTGCCTCAGAAATAAGGCTGCTTTGCAACTGCATCCGCTCAATCCTTTTGTTTTGTTGTCTTCCCTTGAGAGAAAACAAAGTACTAACCTTAAGATTATATGACTGGGGGGCCTGTGCTGTGGCACAGTAGGTTAATCTTCCGCCTGCAGTGCCGGCATCCCACGTGGGCGCCAGTTCTAGTCCCAGCTGCTCCACTTCCAGTCCAGCTCTCTGCTGTGGCCTGGGAAAGCAGTACAAGATGGCCCAAGTGCTTGGGCCCTGCACCCACGTGGGAGGTCAGGAAGAAGCTCCTGGCTTCAGATTGGCACAGCTCCGGCCGTTGCTGCCATTTGGGGAGTGAACCAGCGTTTGGAAGACCTTTCTCTCTGTCTCTCCCTCTCACTGTCTGTAACTCTACCTCTCGAATAAAATAAATAAAATCTTTTAAAAAATTATGATTGCATACATAAAAATCCAAAGGAATATAAACTTTGGAATTAGAAATGCTTTCAGACAGAGAAAGTACTTGCTATATGCCACAATTTGAAAATTACTTATTATTAAAAATACAATGAACAACTGGCAACTGGAGTTTATTTTCTGAAATGTATTTATTTATGTGAAAGGCATAGAGAGAGAGAGAAAGATTTATCTTCCATCTGTTAGTTTGCTGCTCAAGTGCCCGTAACAACTGGGGCTGGGCCAGGCGGAAGCCAGGAACAGAAAACTCCACCTGGGTGCATCCCATGGGCAGTAGAGACCTCAGCATCTGAGGGTCACCTGCGGCCTCCCAGGGCGTGTGCATGTCAGCAGGAAGCAGCTGGGAAACGGAGGGCTCTGGACTCTGTTACAGGAGGTGGACGTCACTGTGCCAACTGCCCACCCCAGGAAACGTTAAAGTATCACTTGATATTCTTATCAGAAGACATCAAGTACACAGAATAAACCCAGGAAAAGATGCTCAAGCCCTCTCCATAATCACAAAACAGTACTAAGAGAAAACTAAGAACACACTCAGGGCCCCACAGGGTCCCAGGGCAATTCTCCCGGACTGGTCTTCACGTCTGAGAAGGGCAATCCCAAGGCTTCCTGTGGGGCCCTCTGGGCGGAGATGCCAAGGACTGCACTGCAGAACAGGGTCAGTCCTGGAAAAGGCTGGAATGGAAGCCCTTCCCCGGAGGTTCACATCAGGAGAGACGTGAGAGCCACAGCTCCCTGGGGACAAAGGGTCTACAAAGCAGCAGAGGAGGATGGGAGCCTGGGGGTGTGCACAGGGAGCAGAGTGTCCCCGGTCCTCCTTGCTCCTCGAGTCACAGAGAGAATGTCCACAGGCGCCAGCAGAGGAGACCCTCGTGACCAGCAGAAGCAGAAACACAAAGCCACTCGGTGCCACCACAGACCATTTAACACCAGCAAGGGTTAATGAGGACGTGGATCGATCCATGTTTTAAAAGATTTATTTATTTGCAAGTCAGAGTTACACAGAGAGAGAAGGAGAGGCGCGCGGCAGGGGTGGGTGGGTGGGGGGCAGTCTTCCATCCGCTGACTCACTTCCCAACTGGCCACCACAGTCGCAGCTGCACCAATCCAAAGCCAGGAGCTTCTCCTGCGTCTCCCATGCCAGTGCAGGGGACCAAGGACTTGGGCCATCTTCCACTGCTTTCCCAGGCTACAGCAGAGAGCTGGATCGGAAGTGGAGGAGCTGGAACCAGCGCTCACCTGGGATGCCGGCACTGCAGGTGGTGGTCCCACCTGCTACGCCACAGCGCTGGCCCCACTGACCCATTTATAATTCCATTTTCTACAAACTTCTTGAAGTACCCAGATGGCTCATGGCAATATTCTGTTACCTGTTCACCCACAGAAGGATGAACAAACTGCCAAACATTCACACCAGTGCCACGCAGGACAAGCCGTGCCTCAGCTGATTCTGACTGTACACCGTCCTTGGGGGGCGGCCCAGGGAAGGCTCCCAGGGACAATGGCAGCACAGTGTCATTTCATCTGCACAGAGACAGGCTCTGGTTCTAAAACAAAATAGAAGCTGTGATGTGCATTTAGAGTTCATCAAGAAGTTAAACCATTTTTTCAGAATATTTATTTTATTTATTTGCAAGGTACAGTTACAGAAACAAAAAGGGCAAAGGAGAGAAAGAGGTCTTCCATCTGCTGCTTCACTCCCCACACGGCCAGAGCTGGGCCAGGCCAAAGCCAGGAGCCTGGAGTTTCTTCTGGGTCTCCCAGAGGAGTTGCAGGGGTCCAACACTTGGGTATCTTCCATTGCTTTTCCCAGGCCATTAGCAGGGACCTGGATCGTCAGTGGAGCAGCTGAGTCTAACTGCACCATATGGGATGCCTGCATCACAGGCAGAGGCTTAACCTGCTATACCACAACGCTGGCCCCAAAATCCGCATTTCTGATGCTACTGTAAATGCATTTTAAAATGCCAATCGTGCATACTGGCTTTGCACTGCAGCCAATGGGAACTCACTCTCAGGGCTCCCCGCACAGTTCTTGGGCCTGTCGATGAAGGTAGTGCCGCCCCTCCTTCCCCATCTGTGAGGCCGTGCTGGTCACAGCTGCAGGACACGCTGACAGCACTGGCGACAGCAGGCAGCTCTCTGCCTTGTTTCCAAAGTCAGGTGGCAAAGATCCAGCGTTGCGGTCCTGAGTCCGGAACGAACTCGAGGCTCCTCCCAGCTCTCTGCATCAGGCGGAGAAATCCCCGTCCACTCCCACTCGGGGGGGGGGGGGGGGGGCCTGCATCCGGAGATGCTTCTGCTGCTCAACTGAGAGGATCGCCCAGCTTTCTTTCTGTAATTTATCAATACGACGAGCTGAGCTGATGGACTGCGGATATTAAATCTGCCTTCAATTCTTGGTACAAACTCCATTTGGTCATGATATACCACCCTTACACCAACAAATTCAATTTACCAAAACTCGTTACCATTTTAGGCCTGTGTTCACAAGGGGTAGTGGTGAAGCTTCCGTGCCCTCCAGTGTGGTGTCAGTGCCGTGCTGGTGAACAGCTGACCCCAGCTGTCCCTGCACACAAAGTGGCCTTCTCCCCTCCATCACACGCTATGCAAAAGCGAACTAGAAATGAGTCACAGACCTGCATCTAAGAACTAAAATTACGAAACTTAAAAGCAAACAGACTGGAATTCCAGGGAGGTTAAACAAGAATGAAGAAAAATTGGGGATTATGAAGGCAACACACACTTGAGGGCAGCCAGTGAGGGGCAGGCAGCAGCCCCAGCAGACAAGGCCCGGGTCACGAGGATCGTCTTAGCCTTGTTCTCTTCCTCAGTGAGAGGCTCTGGCTCACTGTAGTAATTAAAACCGGGAAGGAATGCGGGGAAGGAGTCACAACACAGGACTCGGACTTGACGGCGTGACTTGAGCCAGGCACTCAGTCACATGGCGAAGCCCGGAGGGGACGTCAGACTCTGACAACAGCAAGCGCGCAGTCGGAGGGTGGCACGTCCCACTCCTCGTACACTCGGTGGTCGGAGAGGTTGCATGGGTCAGGAAGCAGGGCCGCGGAGCTCTCGGCAGCCTGCGGATGGCAGGCCCCCACGCTGGCTTGGGAAGAGAGGATGCCGGGCCCGGCCATTTGTGCTTCCTTCTCTGCCCCAGCAAGAGACAGAGAGACCCTCAAGCGAACGTGGCCTCTGCTGCTGCGCTGAAGGGCGTCTGAGAGCCAAGACGAGCAGATGCTCACTCCAGAACGCCTGCAGCAGTGGGAGGAGGGTGGGCCTGTGGCCTGCCACTCTGCACAGAGCTTAGCGAGGCCTGCACGGAACCACCAGATGGGGCAGAGCATCCAAGACCACACCAGCCACAACCCTTTGAGCTTCCAAATGGAGGCCACCTCTGAAGCTGCCCTGTTAGATGAGGGCGGCTGGCGAGCTCACAGCCCCACTGGTGGCTCTGACTCAGCCACCTCTGCAGACTGGCTTCAGGGGGCGTGAGGGCACCAGTAGCCTCTCCGCATTGTGGTGACACAGTGCACATGTAGTTCCCAAACCAGAAGGACCCGGTCTTGAGAGAGGCAGGTGGCTCAGGGGCCACTGGCTCAGGCTCGCAGGCTGCAGGAGGCGCTGCAGGAGTCTGCGGAGCTGACAGGGAGGGGTCAGACCCCCGCGGCAAAGGGCAGGGGTCAACAGCAGGTACACGTGGTGCTGGGGTGCTCCCTGCAATCGCCTGCAGCCTCATCACCAAGCTCTCAGATCAAGGCTCCGTGAGGAAAATCTGAAAACAGGCTGCTCTGTATCACATGCAAATGCACCTGCGGAAAATGGAGTTCATGACGAAAAACTAAGCAGACACATCGTGAGCGGCCATCGTGGGCAGCAGCACCCCGTGTTCCTGAGCTCTGCCACTAGGGAAGCCTGCATCCCAAGGACAGGGGCACCGACAGCATCGGGGCATCCTCCCAGCTTCCCATGCTGGTGGCAACCCAGGCCAAGACAGCGTCACTTGGGCACAGCACTTCAGTGCTGTCAGATGTTCTCTTGCACAGTTTATAAGAAAATAGGACGCTAGCATCGTGGCGCACAGGGTACGCGGCCATCTGCGATGTACCAGCATCTCATACTGGAGCACCACCCAAGTTCTAGCTGCTCTGCTTAAAATCCGACTTCTTGCTATTGTACTGGGGAGGCAGCCGCGGACGACCCAAGTGCCTGGGGCTCCACCACCCACACGGAGACCCAGATGTTGTTCCAAGCTCCTGGCTTTGGCCTGGCCCTGCCCTGGCTGGTGCGGTCATTTGGCAAGCCAACCAGTGGATACAAGCCCTCCCTCTCTCTCTCTAATGCTTTGCCTTTCGAATGAATGAATGAGTTCTTAAGAGCAAGCAGGACACCCCTACATTACCCTCTATGCCTCTGTAGACACAGCTCACCCCACGACAGCAGCACCAGCTACGCTCACTCAGTCTCCTTTGTGTTTCAACAAGAGAACAGCCGCAGCAGTCTAGAATATGCTTCGGCTGCAGGCTTCACTCAGGCCCAGCCTAGCCGCTCTTTAAGACCCCGAGACCGTGCGTGAGGACCGCTTTTTGCACCATCATTGTCACAACTGGCCACCTGGGAAGAAGAGTTAATGCCGGTATCGCCAGCTTGACAGCTGCGGGTTCCTCTTCCCAGGGCAGGTGCTCACCACTCTCCCCACTGCCGAGTCCCTGGGGAAGTGCAGGCCACCCTCGTCCATCCGTCCACAGCTACAGCTCTGGAACGCCACCAGCAGCTCCCCAAGGGCACGACACAAGTATGCCTGACACATGCCAGGCACAAGAGTGGCCTTGACCTCTACAGTGCTGCTGGGGTCAAACACGCAGACCTAAGTGTGACCCACCCAGCCAGGGTGCAACACCACGCCCCAGGGCTTCCAGGGCTCAGCCCCTCTCTGGGCAATGAAGCAAACCCCAGCCTGTAAAGGCAGTGAGAGGAGCTGCAGCCCAGGAAGACAGCTGAGCCAGGAGCACAGGGGTGCATCTCCACAGAGAGCACACAGGAGTGCACTTCCACAGAGAGCGCACAGGGGTGCACCTGCACAGAGAGCGCACAGGGGTGCACCTGCACAGAGAGCGCACAGGGGTGCACCTGCACAGAGAGCGCACAGGGGTGCACCTCCACAGAGAGCACACAGGGGTGCACCTCCCCAGAAAGAGCACACAGGGGTGCACCTCCACAGAGAGCACACAGGGGTGCACCTCCCCAGAGAGAGCACACAGGGGTGCACCTCCACAGAGAGCACACAGGGGTGCACCTCCACAGAGAGAGCACACAGGGGTGCACCTCCAGAGAGTGCGGCATGTGCAGGGTCCACAGCCAGTGAGGCGAGGAAGCTGAGGCCGACGCAGCCAGCAGCACTGTGGCGGGAGGTGGAGTGCGCTCCTGGCCACAGCTCACTCCTGACACAACTGGCCACAGGCACTGAGCTCCGGGTGCCGTTTGCAGGGCCAGCCTCAGCTGGGAGGCCCTCCAGCCCGCAGGTGCAGCACTGCAGAAGCCTCACCGCAGGAGGAGGAGTGGGGCGGGGTCTCCTGGTGCCCTGCTGACAACCACCCAATTCTGTTGCATGGAAACTCTTACGCAGACCAGAACACCACGGCTTGACCAAGGGTACCTTGACCTATCTGTGTGAATCTGTCCAGGTACTCCAGGGCCTCAGCGTCTCAGTGCCAAGGGGCGGGACTTACCAGCAAGCGCGGTCCCATTCCCGTCTGCCAGTCCCAGGGCCCCCGCTGCAGTCTCCCCTCCACCTCCTCACTGAGGCTCAGAGGGTCGTGGTGCTGGCCCCCGCAGGACTCGGCCTCAGCCTCGGCCTGCCCCGGTGGCGCCCACACCAGGAGCGTGGTTCAGAGGCACAGGCACTTCTACTTGTTCTGCCTCAACAGCAGCTGGGCACGCTCACCCAGAACCACAGCAGCCAAATGACTGTTAATTCTCACACACGCAACACCTGCTAACCTGGGACCGCTCCAAACCCAGTTAGATCAAAGACAGATGAGTCAACAAAGCAGGAGGGCCCGGACACACAGGGGTGGACCATCCTGACCCTCTCTCCCAACCAAGTGCTGGAATAGAGGGCCAGGGCTCGGAGCTGGAGTTGGTCTACCCAGCAGCAGTTGTACAGGGACAGCTGGGTGGACCGTCAGGACTCCGTAACAGGAACCTGCCAGTCTGTGGGCACACCAGCATCTCACCATCACTAACCCCGAGATGCTCCCGTCCTGCTGAAGACTGCGGAACTGAACTCAGGACCGACAGTCACAAAGCCAACACATGACAAACACTGAACCTGAACCTTGTTCTGATTCCAAATTCATTCTCACCAGATCCAACCTGGCACTGCAGGGCAGCAAGCTCGCAACCCAGGACTGTGTAACACACACTCCCACGCTACACTGCAGGACAGGAAGTATACACCCCAGAATCGTAACCACCAGACCCCACCCACACTGCAGGACAGGAAGTGTGCACCCCAGAATCGTGTCCTCCAGACCTCACACACACTGGACAGGAAGTGCATAGCCCAGAATTGTGTCACATACACCCCGACCCCACACTGCAGTACAGGAAGTGCGCACCCCAGAACCATGTCCTCCACCCTTACCCCGTACTGCAGAACAGAAAGTACAGAGCCCAGAACCGCATCACACACACACAGGAAATGCACACCTCAGAACTGTGCCCTCCCCCTCCACCTCCACCCTGTACTACAGGACAGGAAGCACGCACCCCAGAATCCAGTCTTAACAGCTCTCGATAAAACACAGTGGTTTGGATTTACGTCTTCTTTTCCTGCTCACATTTGGAGTAAAATTCCCCAGCAGTGCTTGCCGTCGGGACACGGAAGTGCAGAGAAGCGTCTGGCGGCCTGAAGGGTCCACTGACACGTGGCACAAGTCCTGCGGTTCTGGGGCTGGAGGTGTGCAGCCAAAGGCAGGCTGCAGCCGAGAGCACTGTCTATACACACACCTGTTAGTGAAAGCTCGACTTCGGTTCCCAAGTCGCAACCACCACCGTTAGGAGGAAGCAAGCCCACGTGTAGAGAGCCCCCCCTCACAGCCACTTGCTCTGGCTGACCAGGAGCCATGGGGAAGGCGGGCACTGCCAGCCCACAGCCTGGGTCTGAACACCACGCACGGGGGCCCGCGGCGGCTGGCGCGCGCATTACCTTCTTCCCAGGTTGTTTCTCCACCATGTCGCTGCGGAGAGCGAAGTCTTCCTGCTGTGGTGTTCTAGAACACCCACCCTTGGGCATCGTTCTGCTCCCTCACGTGGCCGTCATTTATGCTGCTATCGCTTCGTCGTCGACCGTCTGCTTCAAGAAAGGACACAGAGGTCAGACTCCACCGTACCAAGAGGCAGCCAGAGCCCAGCCGACTTCACGCTGAGCTGCCCAGGTCTGAGAGGGGCCGCGGCTGCGGCTGTGCGCAGGGGGCCAGAGCCGCCGCACCCCAAGTGGGCCTTGGCCAGAAGCACTGGCTTGGGACATCCCTCCCCAAGGGCTCTTCCCAGAGGCAGAGAGACGACGGCTACACCCTGCTGACAGCAGGAAGGCACCTTCTAGAAACCACCCCAGCGCACGGCTTCAGGTCCTCCTTCCCATCAGCCATGTGCCCTGTGCTGCACTGTGACCGACTCACCCACGTCCCGTGCCTCCCTCAGACAGCCCTGCGCTCAGGACACACTGCCCATCCACCCGCCACTCCTCTGCGGACTTCTTCACGGCACCCCCGAGGTCCCGCCAGAGTAGTGTACTGGAACAAGCATCGCTGTGCTCCGTTTCTGGCGTTAAGGACACAGCTGGCTCACCCTGGGGAGAAGGGGAGGCTGCGGCTCTCCCTCGGCACCGCCTTCCTGCCCCAGCGCTCCCAGACAGGGCACCTGCCTGCCTACTCAAACTCTGGACTCTAGACTCCACCCCAGAGCTGCAAGTCACAGCCTGGAGAGACAGACAACTCGGCACCGTGCCCAGGGCCAGCTGTCAGACTCACAGCTGTCTAGGAGCCAGCAGACCCTGCTTCACAAGGTTTTTTTCTTTTTGACAGGCAGAGTTAGACAGTGAGAGAGAAAGAAAGAGAGAAAAGTCTCCCTTTTCCGTTGGTTCAGCCCCCCAATGGCTGCTGTGGCCAGCGCGCTGCGCTGATCCGAAGCCAGGAGCCAGGTGCTTCTCCTGGTCTCTCATGCTGGTGCGGGGCCCAAGCACTTGGGCCATCCTCCACTGCACTCCCGGGCCACAGCAGAGAGCTGGCCTGGAAGAGGGGCAACCGGGACTAGTACCCAGCGCCAAGACCGGGACTAGAATCCAGGGCGCCCGCGCCACAGGCGGGGGATTAGCCTAGTGAGCCGCGGCGCTGGCCTGCAGCAGTAGAAGGTTTTTAAAATCCCAGCCTGCCTGCTCTCAGGATGGACAACTGGACAAAGGCGTACCTCAGAGGCGCACAGGCTCTGTCTAGGCCAGCAGAGCCCACGGCCTGTCCTGCAGTCCTGCAGCATCTGGCTGTGCTTCCTGTGCCCAGGTGTCCACACTAGGGCTCTGGTCAAGGACGGTTCTGAGCCCCGTGTTCAGTGGAGAACCAGACTCCTCTTCCTGCGTGGGCAGAGCAATGGCCCAGAACAGCGAGAGGAGAGCACGGCTGACTTACAGACCAACTGCACCCCAACTCCACAAGAGGAAGCACAGGGGCCAACTGGCAGGACTGGGTGAGCTCCGCCACAGCCATGGCCACTCCGAGACACAGGCCGAGCCCAGGGAGCGTCAGCACCTTGCCGTCATTGCTGCTGCCCTTGGGGGAGCACAGTGCGAGTCCCAGAAGGCCAGCAACTACCATTTCCATCGCCTGCAGCTGCGCCTTGCTCACCAACAGAAACACCACTGCTTCTTTTGTGAGAGCAACTGGCGAGGTACGAGGTGTCTACCAAGCACACTTCACTGCAAGAGAAGCAGTCCACACACTGGGAGCTGGCCAACAGCGCTGCGACTGCACTTGTTTTGAAAAGGCTGTTGTCCTTAAGGCACATCCTCGCTGACCTCCCCACAAAGCGCCAGGGATCTGAGGACTTGCCCAGGAGATGAAGGCAGGCATCACCCACCACAGGCAGGTGTCACTGTCAACTCCTGGTGGCTTAGTGGTACCGCCCAAGTGTTCTGCTGTGCCCTCCCGCCTTCACAGTGACAGTGGACACTGTGCAGGCCGTGTCACTCCCAGGACTTTGGCTCTGGCTCCTGCAGGGCCTCACACTGCAGACCTGAGGGTCCCCAGTCACTGGCAGCAAGGTGGACTTGGCCTCTTGACATCCAAGCACAGAACTCAGACTGTAGAAGGCCAGCACGGTGAGGTTTCTGGCTGGCAACTTGGACACATGGCCATCTGGCCCTCTCCTGACCTCTCAGGAACCCAGGCCACAGGACCATGGCTCATGCCACAGCTTTTTCTGAACAGCCGACTGGCCAGGAATAGAGGCTAGGCTACACGTTAGTCCTTGTCCATCTCAGCCCCTCAGGAAGCCGCCGATGGTGCTGTCCCAGGTCCTTGTGGCCGCACCCCAGCCTGTGCTCCAGCAGGGACAGGGCCCATGAGGAGGCAGTAATCTGTGTCTTACAGGATGTTTGTTTTAGAGGGTAGGACTGCTGTGAGCCCTAAGTCTCCCTGTTCGGAGCTGAGCATTTCACTGCTAAACATGGAAAGGGGCCAAGGTTCCTTCTTGTGGAGAGTTGTGAAGCTGTCTTGGGCTGGCCTCCGAGGCTTTCTGATCACCACCATCAAATCAAACCCTGGGGCAGGAGCCCAGGGACACAGTCTCCCTGGTCAGGTGACACGGCTACTCCTCTTTAAGGTGACTTCACAAGCAGACGGGAACAGAGAGCTGCCTGCAGCCAGCGAAGGGACCCACTGTCACCCGGTGGCCAGGGAGGGGCTGGCCCTGCTTGGATCTCTCCACACATAAAGTGGAAGCTCCAGGTGGTGGCCACCAGGGAAACCTGCATCTGTGGGGCCAGAGAAGCACCTGTTCCAAGGGCTAACAAGGAGCCCTGGGCCCACCTGCAGGGCACATGTCCCCACACCGACAAGGTCACAATCAATCCCTAAGGACTGCAGCGTTCAAATGTGGATAATGCTGTCAGGTCAGTCTAGGAAAACACCAGGACCCTCTCTGCACTTCAAGATGCGCCTGTGCTGGGGCCACCAGCATCTCGTATGGGCGCCAGTTTGAGTTTAGGCTGCTCCGCTTCCAACCCAGCACCCTGCTAAATGGCTTGGGAAAGCAGACGATGCCTCAAGTTCTTGGGCCCCTGCCACCACATGGGAGACGTGGAAGAAGCTCCTTGCTCCTCGCTTCAGCCTGGCCCAGCTCTGGCCCTTGTAGCCATCTGGGGAATAAACCAGCAGATGGAAGATCTCTCTCTCTGTAACTTTCAAATAAATAAATCTTTAAAAAAAAAATAATAAAGGGTGTGTGGGCACTTGAGTGGAGGTGCCCACAGCTCCACCTCCCGCCCACCTGCCCCGCCCAGCCCCGCCCCACCCAGCCCAGCCCAGCACAGCCCAGCACAGCCCAGCACAGCCCAGCACAGCGTGTTCCCAGAGTCTCCCTCAAGGCCAGACCTGAAACAGGAGGCCCGGTCATCACTCTCTGCTTCTCAAGGTGACAACAGCAGGAGACCACAGGGAGAGGGAGGGTCCGTGTCCCTGCCGTTGGTAGAGCAGGGACAGGGCCTTGGAGGTGGCTGCTGGGCCTGTGCCATCCACAGAGGTGTGGCAGCCCTTCAGCACCGAATCTGCATTGAGCTAACACCCTGTCCTGCACACCAACGGCCAAGAACAAAACAAAACTTCTAACAGCAATGCCCGTCCTTAGAACTGGTAGGAAGAAACAGTGAAGGGCTGAAACACATTCCGACAGAGCAGAGGCGTGTTTCCGCCAGCCCCCAGGAACGGAGGAGAATCCAGGGCCCGCGCTTCTCACGGTGCAGGCGGCTGGCCAAGCTCCCTGCCGTCCAAGAGGCTGCTGCACACCCTATTTCCTGTGTGGAGCAGACGCAGGGCAGGGGCGGCAGCCCTGGAGACAGGTGCAAGGCAGGGGCCCCTTGCTCTCTATAGACACTTCAGAGACCCTCGCCCCCAGGCCCACAGACCACGGCTGCAAACCATGGCACCCCAGGGCACTCTCCTCTTAAAAGACACAGAAACACACCAAGGGCACTTCCTAACGGCAAAGGGGAAAGAGGCTCCAGCAAGGAGGAGTCTCAGGCAGAATCTCAGAAGGAAAGGCATGTGGCATTGTGGCACTTCCCTTGGGGGCGGTGTCTATGGGGAGGTGGTCCCAGCCCTGCTGATGGGGGCAGTGTCTACGGGGAGGCGGTCCCAGCCCTGCTGACACAGCACTGGAATGGAAGTTGAAGTGGGACTGGACACAGGAGCCCCGGCTGCCCACAGACACCAATAGCCAAGGAAGCCCCTGGTAGTCATTCAGGCCTCCTCGTCCAACTGAGCTGCAACCAGAGGAGGTGGAGCCCTCAGTCCACACAGAGCCCAGGTACAGGCTGCACTGTTCAGTGACCTTGAGAAATCCTCACCCAGTCCACCTGTGAGGCTCAGGAGGAGATGGGGCCACCAAAGAAACCCAGGGTGCTGCAAAAGAGAGACCAAGAACTGCACCCAAGTCTTGTCTGGGCAGATTCTGGAAAGCCAGGATGAGAGAACACTGCAGGGTCTGCTCCTGTAAACAGAGAGGCTAAGGCCCAGAGAGCAGAAATGAACCATGCGAAGCCCAGCCCGTGGCCTTCCCCGGGCAGGGGGGCTCCGTGGCATCAGAAGCCTCCCCACACTGCAGACTCCCGGGGCAGTGCAGAGAAGACAGGTCTGAAGAAACAGCTGCAACGCGCCCCGGGCCAGGCTGAGCCCAGCTGGGCTCAATCATTTCAACACCTGAGTGCACGACAATGTGCGACTTCAGTGCAGTGGCCCCGGGTGAAGCTGCACGGGAGCATGCGCTGGCTCCTCACTGTCAGGGGTCGGGGCACATGTGAGGTCAACACCAAGACGCCACCTGCCCTTTCCAGTGTTGGTGGGCACTGCAGGTGACATGCAGCAGGAGGCAAGGTCTTTAGCCATTGCCCTCATTCTGAGGGCACAACAGTGAACCTGTCCAGTGTCACCTACAGGTGCCCGGGGTCAAGCTCCCAGCCCTGCCCTTTCCTCTCCATGCGGCAGAGCTGTAGGAGCCGCACAGCATGGAGAACGGAGGCCCATCTCCACAGGCTGCCGCAGGCTGGGCTCCAGCAACTCCCGCACAGCACAACCTGCAGGTTCG